ATACGATAGAGCGCCTGGAAACTTTAAGATACGCCCGAGCATCACTTGTGATTGTCACGATAACATAAATGGATACTCCTCTTGACATCTTATGTATCCAATTTTCGACCAAGTAGATTTCCGGAGGCCTACTCTCTCTTATTTTTCGAACAACCACTAGTCATGCTCGAGCCAGTCCTAAGGTTATCGAGGACGCCCTATCGAATGAGAAGTATTTATATGGGACCGATCCTTTCTCTCAGTGACAAAGGGAATCTCCCAATCTGATTCGTCCCTCGTTGATCAAGCAGAGTTTTGATTGCCTTTTTCGTATCATCTCGGGTATTAGTGGTATAGCATGATCCAAGAACGCTAGGGTATCCTCTGTAGTAGTTGTTGATGGCACAACGATGCCTCCAGATCATTGCTTGAGAATCTAAAGGTATCTTCTAATAATAAGATTTGAAGAACGAAAGGTATCCGATATAACTGAAGTTGAGAATCTATGAGTTCCCCTGTCTAAAAGAACTTAAGGACCGATGAATACCCCTCTATAATAGGCCTTAAGAATCAATGAATACCACTTATAATAGGACCTGAGGTTCTAAGGCTACTCCTCTATAATAGGACTTGAGGTCCATAGGGTACTCCTATATAAGGGAAGTTGAGGGCCTATGATTACCCCTATATACTAGAGCTTGAGAACCTATGGGAGACTCCTTAATAAAGCTGTTCGCACAATTCTTTGCTGGATTAAAAATGTAAACCACGATGAATCTATTGTTACTAAATAAATGGAAATATGCTTTTGTTCCATGCCTTTGCGACATATTTGTAGCTAACCGCTTATTTGATGCTTTACAACTCCGGTTTCTCTTTCACGGTCTGTAATGGGTAGAAGGATTATCTATCACAGTCTGTGATGGGTGCCGGGATTCTCTATCATGGTCTATGGTGGGTATTAAATTTTTCTGTCACGGTGTAGGGGGGAATGAGTGCAAAAGTTCTACCCTATACACTTCAACACTCCATTCAGATCGCGTTTCACAATAGGACTTAAGGACCAATGGGTACCCATCTATAATAGGACTTGAGCACCTTTAGGTACTCCTCTTAAATAGGTGTGCACCAGTGCCAGTAACTGGGTACTTAGTCATTTGACGTTTATTCCGCTAATTGATCAGTACTTCCCTCTTTTCTAAGAGTGTGGGTGTGGGGGTTGGTTTGGCGTTGGTATGGGTGTCGTTATTGCCATTCTAACTATTCCCAAATCCAAACAACATCCACATCCATATCCATCCAAACAACACCTATACCCACACCCACCCATCCACATCTACACCCTAGCCATACCCACACCTTCAAAAACATGAAATTCATTTATAGCATTCTAAATTATAACGATTGATATATAGAAATATATGATTAGCCAATGGTTTCAGTATTATAACTTATATCACTACTTCAACAGTCTAAAAATCACTGTATGACAATATACTAGAAAAGAAAATACTACTCGACAAATGGATTAAAGATCAAAGGACTCAGTACCCAGTCAATGACTGAGTCCCAATCCGACTGTGGCCCAGTTCACCAGTTAGAACTGGAACTGGTGCATCCCTACTCTTAAATGGGACCTGGGGTCCTAAGGGTACCCTTTATAATAGGACTTGATGACCTATACATGTAAATTTTCATGATAGCCTGTTGATGCAACTGAACTTTTTCAAAAGGTTCAGTTCCTGCAAAAGAACTGTTCAAAGAATTCTGTTCATTGGAAGAGATCTATTCACAAAGTTCGATTCGTTCAAAAGAACTCTTCCAATAGTTCAACTCGTGTTAGTGTCTCTTTTGAACAGTTTATCAGTTCAAAAGCAACACTGAGGTTGTCGCTCTCTAACACCCAAACAGCTCACAATCACACCCACACACCCACACCCTTCAGTAGGGTATCGAGCTCAATAGACTGCCGATTCCTAATGTCCTACCTTCGATCATTCAGTGATATTCGTTTTCTGGAAAACTCTATTCCTATTGTCTTTGGGTCAACTAATAGGATTTCGAGGCGAATGGATCTCAGATTCGAACTCACTGCCTCTAAAAATCCCTACCTGACTGTGTTCGTGAAAACGCAATTTTGATTCTCTGGTTTCTTAGCAGCTGAGTTCCTATTGGTTTTCGACCAACGAATAAGATTTTGGGGCGAATGAATCCCAGATTCGCACTTGCCACCTCTCGAAAGTCCTATCTCATCGTTTTTCCGAAAGTGTAGATGTTTTTATCTGTTTTCTTCGCAGCTGGATTCCAATTGGTAATCGGCGGACCAATAAGACTTCGAGGCAAATGGACCTCAGATTCAAGCTCAGCACCTTCGAAAACTCCCAGGTGTATGTGTTCTGCTTGCTCACAACGTACTGCTCAGTAGTTCTCCGATACTACCGAATGCTCGAATCTCATTGGTCAGATACATAGGTGGGCTTGTGGCAGACGGAGAATCGATGTTTTTTCGACAAAAAGCATTCATTGACCTCCTCCTGACTGAGAGGATGGTGTCTGAAAAGTTTGGTTGCATTTGCTCGTACGGCGTAGAAATGCATAAAGAACAGACAGACAAACAAACAAACTTTCTTCTTTATATATATAGATATCTATCTGTGTCTAAAGAAAACTAACAAAGTTTTCTAAATATATATATTTTTATGATTATAGTAATTCATCAATGTCACTATCATCAATATATACAGTTCCCATGAAGAAGTGAGTTCTTGTTTTTAGTTCGAATTTATGGGTAGAATACTGCAGAGATACAATTTTCTATCCCTATCCAAATGCGAGTGCAAGTAAAAGTAGAGAAACTCGATTCATAGATTGCATTTTTGTAGCCAGGCATTGTCATTTTAACAGAACGAACAATTAGCAATGTAACCAAAGGATACCCTTATTAAACATCAATGTTTAAACCTCACACTTTCAAATTATTGTTATGAATTGTATTGTTACAAGTAAAATTTGAGTCTTTAAGAATCATTAGTTTTAATACTCGTACTCGCATTGGTTACGACTATCTGATCCACAGATTGCAGTATTCTATTCATGAAGATGAATATCATTAGTGAATTTCCTTTCATTCATGTTTTTTGAATAAATAAATTCTTAGATGCTTTATTATTTATTCTTATTTAGACCAAAATCACTTTCGCAATATATTAATATGACAGACAAAGACAAAGAAGCAATATATGCCGAATATGAAGTTAGTAAAACAATCATATAATGAATGAAGCAGACTGAATGATGACTTCACTATTCAAGCCATATTTTTCTCAGCTTCTATTTCTATTGAACTATTGCTTTCTTTTCAAAGATTTTTTACTCAATACTTTACAAATGTCCATTTCAAAAAAGAAGGTGGGTGGATACTCTTTGAATGACGTCTGAACAGATTGAGTTAGAGAGCTGTGGTTTTCAACATGAGAAGAAGGAGATAAACAGATAACGAAGCAATTCTATGAAAAACATTTTTCTTAGAGTTTTAGTCAAACGTTTTCTTAAACTTGCTTTTTTCTCAAAAAAGTAATTTTTCGATTATCTTGTTGATAAAATTAGATAATAAATTCCATTCCAGTGACTAGAATATCTTAGTGATAGTGATTAGGAATAGAATGTTTATATAGTTTTGAAGCACTTCATTTGACAGTTCTAACACATTATTGAAAATCAATAAAATAACATCATGACTATGAGAGACATGTTGTTCTTTTAGAAGCTTTATGTAAAACTGTTAGAAAAGTAGGTAGAAAATGTTTTTTATACAGAGTTCGATGTGTCTTCATCTGCTCTTTCCAATAGTGAAACGCACAGCTCTCTAACATAATCTATTCCTAAATTATTCAAAAAATATCTACTCATCTTCGTTTTTTGAAATAGACAAATATAATCTTTTTCATTTTCTAACAATCTATGGAGATATTGATGCCATCAATGGCAACTTTCTTACATCATCTTTCATGATGGTGTGAGATATTGCTCATCATTGATTTCAATTCTTCGATCGATTGTTAAAGAATAGAAACAACTATGTCTTTCACATGAATTTTAATAATTTTTAGAAAATTCAATGAAAAATCATTGAAGAGAAAACTTATGGTCAAAATAGTGATGCTATCGGTTATTTTAGAATATCGATAAATAATCTAATAATATATAATTATATGTAGAAATTAGATAGTACGTCTCCTGAGTACTCTCCGTCACAATATAAGCTTGAATATGACAAATACAATCGATATAGTAATATTCTTGCTCGAGGACCTTGTATGTAAATTAATTTTATTTTAATATAGCTTAATTCTCTTGATTATATATTATTACAGGGGAACGCACAGCTGTTCGATTAAATAATTCTCATCGTGTTCATGATTACATCAATGCGAATGAAATCAAAGTAATTTTATTAAGTGAAAATATTTCAAACAATATCTATTTTATAAAACAGGGATTCAACAATGATAAACAATATATAGCTTGTCAAGGTCCATTGGAACAAACTTGTGAAGATTTTTGGGACATGATTATTCAATATGATGTAAAACAAATTGTCATGTTAACAAGAACAGAAGAACGAAATCGTCACAGCCCTTCAGAAACATTAGTAATAATCATTATTTTGAAAAAAAAATTCCTAAATTACATATTATATTTTAGTGCAAATGTTATCGTTATTTTCCTGATAGAATAGAACAATTAATGACATTTGGTAGAGTATCTATTCAATTGATCGAGCTCGAACAGCAAAACAATGTAGATCTTGAAATTCGTCATATACTTATTAAAGCTGTACATTTTACTTTAGTTTTTTTTCTGAGCTTTCAATTGAATTTATAATTTCTTTTAAGGATAACAATGAATATTCTGTACTTCATTATTATTTTACTGGTTGGCCAGATTTTGGTGTTGTTGAATCACAAAGATTAGTTCAACTTATTCAATATATTAATAATCACGGAAAAAATCAAATAAATTCAGCTAGCAAATCGAAAAACATTGGAATAACACCTATAGTTGTTCATTGCAGGTTGAAATTTATTTCAAAGAATGAATAAATTTAATTTTTTTTCTTTTCAAGTGCTGGCGTTGGTCGAACAGGTACTTATATAGCTGTAGATACTATAATGCATTTAATTGATCAAGAGCAAAACAAATTATCAGCCATGCAACTTGATGTTATGGATATTGTCTATCAATTACGACAAGATAGAGGAAAAATGGTGCAAACTAAGGTAATATTTAATTTGATTTACTTCTCAATAATATAGATTCTTTTTATAGGATCAATATCTCTTGGTAAATCATTGTGTCAAAGAATATTTACGAAAAATAAATCGATTAAATGATGGTAAGTTTTTTTTTCTTTTATAAAACTCACATACACTTTCGAAGCAAATAGTGAGTATAAGTTTTAAGGTAACGATTTCGCGGTTTCCCTCTCTCCCTCCATCTTTCTCCTGCACCTCTTACAGACCGTAGAAACTTCGTCAAAAAAAGAAAAAATATCTGTTCGAAATATAGACACAAGGAAAGAGAGAGCATTTTCTGATGATCGATTATCTTTTGAAGATCTAAAATATCAGGTATTTTGTGATTAGTATAATGAAACTAAAGAAAATATGAGAATTCTACATTTCAGTCTCAAAAGGACTATGCTACCAACTGTTTTGTTTTAGATACTCACAACTGATTAAAAAACTAAGAAATATTCGATTGATGACAATTATCAATTATGAAACACTTCTTTAATAACCCTAGCATATGAAAAAGTTTATTTTCTTTGCATTAGGATAGATAAGAAATACTATGATGTATCTTTCTGCTATCTTGACTACTTCAAAATAGTAGTGAACAATAGGATTAGTTGATTTGAATATAGTTTATCTCATACAAAGTCATGAACATTAAGAATAAAAAGAAAAGTGAAAAGAAATTCTATCTGTATATAATTTATTGTTCTTAGAATTGATATCTCTTAAGTCTTTTGACTTCTTCTTGTAAAAGTAGATATGAATGAAACATTTCTATTTGTAATACTTATATTTCTGTTCAATAAAAAATAGCACTTCTAAAAGAATTTATCTATAAGATGAAAAAGAAAATGAATGATATTTTCTTATATTTTTAGAATTCTCCTTATCGGAATAGAAATTGATCAAGAATTTCTATTTGAAATAACACCATAGAGAATGAATTCTTTCTTTTTTTTTGAACAGTATTTCTGTTGTAAATGAAACAATTTCTCGTTTTGGGAAAATGTTGTCTACCTCTCATTCAAAACAATTCTATAGATATTTAAAAATAAAAACAACATGTCTTATGTCTAGTTTTACAACAATCACTTGCATACGATGTTTACGAGGATCCTACGAAGTTGAATGACGATGCAAGTATGAAATCATCATCGGGTTATATTTATGAGAACGCAAACAATTCATTTCAAGCCAAATAGTTTGCGTCCTTCTTTCAAGCGTGTTTCAAAACCTTTACACTAACACTCATTTAATCATCATCATAGTAAAACAAAAGATGATAATTCACCAAATCGACTTTGTCGAGCATCTACAAGTAGTCAATTATTTCGTTTTTTAAACGGAAATTCTTTGAAACAAATTATAAATTACGTATCTCCGGTGTGCCGCTGTTCTTTCTTTTTTTTCTATTGTATTGTATTATTTATTTTTGTTTCTTATATCGAAATTAATGGAATTTGTGATGCCAGAAAATAATAAGTGTGATATTTGTTTTATACAATTTCATTTTCTTTTTCTTTCAAGTATTTGCATAAAGGTCGTTTGACAAACCAATGAACAATCATGATATGTGTAGTATATATATATATATATGCTATGAGCGTGTGGGTGTGGGTGTGGGTGGATGTGGATGTGGGTGTGGGTGGGTGTGGGGTGTTGGTATAGGGTATGGGTGTGGGTGTCACAATGTTTAAATACCCACACCCACACCCTCTTTTCTTTTTTCTAGTAGACATAAATAATTTTTCTAATAAACATTGTAGAAAACTAATAGATTTTAAAGTTCAATGAGTAATTAATATTTAGTAGCATATGACTATCATATTGTTTGTGGCTTTCCGAACAAAAATATGTTTTTAATTTTTGTCAATATAGAGCAATCCTATGTCTATTCTGTTAACATTAGGAAAATTTTTTAATGTATTATGAAACTTGCTTTTCGTTTATATGACTTTAGTAGACGATAACAAACTGATTTAATTAATATTGTATCATTAAGAGAGGGTCCATAAGGCAATCGAGCATCGTCATAACATGATTTTTTGTAACATGCCTTTTTTATTATTTCATTCGATTCTACATGGAACACTGTGCTTATGAAAATTTTTTTAAATCTTGATACCTTCTAATCACGGAGTTATAGAAATTTGAAGATAAGCATCCCTGAAAACTCCAAAAAACACCATATTTTCAGTTATTTTCATTTTTTGAAGTCAAATTATATCAAATAATGTTGAGCAACGTCTCATTTGAAAGAGCATAAAAGACTGCATCGATTGATATATTTGACATTTCTCAACTGTTTAATTTTTCATTTTTCGAAAAAAAAATTATATTTTTAAAGAACTTTTTGAGTATTTTTTTTATGACTATTTTTAAAGTAAAAAAGCATTTGACTACTGGTTCTTGTAGAGCATTCAATTCTGCACAAAATGAGCTAACTCTCAACGTTTCAAACGGGGGCAACAGGTCAAAATTTTGCGAAACAAAGTTAACGTTTGGCGATATTGAAAGGCAAATGGCGTTAAGGCTGCTCTTTCTTCTCGAACATTATTCAAAAATAATTACGTATTCGGAATCAGCATTAAATTCTGAGTAAAATAATGGTGAATGTGCTGAGGTAGAATTAGTTTTTTCTGATCAAAGCTCGAAATCATAGCGGAGTTGGTTTATTACTATTTGATATTTCCAGTATTTCCATTATCATAGTAAATTTTTAAGTGGTATGGTTACGATATTCGGAATCAGTGATAAATTCTGAGTAAAATGATGGTAAATTTACTAAAGTTAACTAAAGTTGAAAAAACCTTTTTTCACTCGACCCTGATGTCCCCCACCGATGCCAAAAAAAATCGATAAAAAATAAAAGTCGTTTTTCAATAGAAACAAATACATCAATTTACTTATAATTTAATGCTGATTGTGAATATGGAATTATTTTTGAAAAATATTCTTGATAAAACATAGCTTTTACATTGTTTTACCGGTTTTTTGAGTAATATCCCTTTTATATTGAAAATTAGTAGAGAAATGAGTAAAGAAAAGTTTTGGTCCTGTGTAGTTTTTTATGAGAACATTTGTGTAAAAAGATGTCATTGAAATCTGTTTTTATCTTTAAAAAAGTTAGTTTTACTGGTACCAGCAAAAATACCTGAGTTTATACATATACCCTACAACTTGTAGGGATGCACCAGTCCCAGTTCTGACTGGTGAACTGGGTCCCAGTCGGACTGGGTACCCAGTCCGACTGGGTGCCCAGTCCGACTGGGTGTCCAGTCCGACTGGGTGCCCAGTCCGACTGGGTATCCAGTCTGACTGGGTGTCCAGTCCGACTGGGTGTCCAGTCCGACTGGGTACCCAGTCCGACTGGGTACTGAGTCCTTTGATATTTAGTCCATTAGTCAAGTAGTACTTTCTTTTCGAGTATATTGCCATAGAGTGATTTTTAGGCTGTTGAAGTAGTGAAATAAGTTATGATACTAAATCCATTGGCTAATCATGTATTTCTATATATCAATCGTTATAATTTACAATACTGTAAATGAATTTCATGTTTTCAGGGTGTGGGTATGGCTAGGGTGTAGATGTGCGTGGGTGGCTTGTGGATGTGAGTGTTGTTTGGATGGATATGGGTGTGGATGTTGTTTGGATGAGGAAATAGTTAGAATGGCAATAACGACACCCATACCAACGTCAAACCAACCTCCAGACCCACATCCTTAGAAAAGAGGGAAGTACCGATGGATTAGCGAAATAAACTTCAAATGACTAAGTACCCAGTCGGACTGGGTGTCCAGTCGGTCTGGATGCCCAGTCGGACTGGGTACCCAGTCCGACTGGGACCCAGTTACTGGCACTGGTGCATCCCTACCTACAAGCGCATTGGCGATCATACAATTACCCCATGTGGAATAATTATACAGAAATTTTTCGTTTAGTGCTCTTTTTGTGAGCTCTATAAAACACTTGAATTCGGAACTTATAATTTTAAGATTAATCTAGATCGATACGGAAGACTTTGAACTATCGATTGTTGAAAAATCAGAAAAAAATAAAGTATCAATTGCTCAAAAATTTAGTTTTACTGACACCAGCAAAAAATAAGTGGATTTATACATTTATCCTAGTGACGTCAACGCTATTATACATTCACCCCCCCCCCCCCCCCCCCCCCCCGGACAGAAACTGTATAATCGAAAAACAGCATCTAAAGGGCACCTCGTAGATAGCTCTGCTCACAAGATTTTGAAAAATGAATTTCACCAATAGCTAGGTGACTTGTGAAGGAAATTTTTTGAAATAATGAAAAATAAAAAAGTTATAGCTAATATACTGAACCCGGCTGATTTTTTTTATACGTTTACCCTCACTTACTCTATTCAATTCTTCTTTTCTCTTTTCTGAACATGACTTTTTTTCCGACGTCCACATGAAAATGAAGACAACGCAAAGATGATGTATATGTCACAGTAGAAATTAAAATTTAGTAGAATTTTAATTTCTACTGCAACATATACATGAGAATATGTGCAGAAAAAGAAAGAAATGATATTCATTGGACGATGCATTGATATAACCTTTCTTTAAATGAATTCATTCATTTTATTCTTCATTGATATCAATGGTTACAAGTATAAACAAGGAATATTTATCTGAATATATTTTGATAAAAGTGTTATAATCAATATTAAACATGAGCTTGTCTAGTGTTCATCTTCTTGATTTACCTAATGAAATGTTATTTAATATTTTAAAGAAACTTGAAAATGTTGATGTTCTTTATTCATTTTTTGGCATTAATAATGAACGACTTGAGAAAATAATAGAAGATGAGTTTTTTTCTAATAGTCTTAATATTGCATCAATTACTGAAAATAGTACAATAATTGATTCAATACTTGATCGATTCTGTGATTATATATTACCTCGAATGTATTTTAATGTGAAATGTTTCATTGTTGAACCAGAATTCATGGAACGTATTCTTCTTGCTACTCCTTATCCAAATCTGACTGAATTAAAACTTTTTAATTTTCAACGTGATAGTTCATTACATTATTTCACAGGTAAACATATATTCTATGATTTCATTAATTGAAAGATTACAATAAGAATAGATAATACAATGTTTCGTAATTGTCTTTTAATTTAGATAATTCATCGCTTGAACATATCCTCAAAGAACAAATTATAAAACTTGATCTTATTCATAAAGATGATGGGTATGAGATAATATCATCGAAAGTTTATACAAAAACAGTGTACGCACATATTTTGACTTACGGCGAAAAGTTAGAGCATCTGAATGTTACTGCGTCATCAAATTTTGTATATCCAAGTTTGTCAATTCGTTATTTACCATCAAATACTTTTTCTTCTTCAACTCTTACTTATTTATGTATTAATGTGCAAACTTTTACTGATTTTGTTTGTTTACTTGATGGTCATCTCAAACAGTTAAGTACATTGATTGTTCAATTTTATCAAATGGATACAGATTCATCAGTTTTTCATAATTTAGTAAGTATCTTTTATCTTTTTGAGCTTCTCAAACGAATAAAATCTCACCTGTAAATTGGAAACAATGAAGAATTCTGAGAAAAGCAATAGAAATATGTAAGACCAGTTTTAGTCTCAAAGTCGAAACTGGTCTTAAAGAAAATTTGCTCTTACAAGTGATTAGAAGTGAATGATATATTTTCTAATTTTGAGAACTATGAAAAGACTTGAAAAAAAGATATGTAAAAGTTCTTGCATATTCTTTCAACTTGTCTGAGAACCAGTCATCATTCAGAAGAATTGAAATTGTTAAGCTTTGATTAATGCGATGAAACAGATGAATTTGTCAATCTTACTCTAATAATCTGAACAAAGTAAGCTTCCCGCAACTCAAAACTCGAGCGACTATTTTTTCAACTTTTTTATAAATGTTTCGATAGATCGCAAGCAGATGATCATGAAAGACATTCTTTAGATCCGAAAAATACAAAAAATCAAGTAAATCATTTTTTGAAAAAAATCGACGAAACTTTGTATTTTACTATTTTTTCAGCTAATGAAACTTCTTTTTCGTATAGAGCGTCAAAAACTAATGGGGGAACATATCTAAGTGTAGAACTTTGTTCAAGCCCAGATTTTGGCTATAAGTAGGACTCAATTAGATTAAGAGAAACCTAAAAGAATTCTGGCCCATGGCCTA